AAGCTCACACTTTATGTCTGTCTGAAACACACACACACAAACGTGGCACATTGAAGGAAATTATTTTTCTGACATTTCCCTTCTTTCCACTCTTCTTTCTTCTCAGTCCTTCTTTGCTCTACAATGCTTTTGCTGTGTTTGGGTGTTTGTGTGCACTTGTGCGTGGTGGCTGCCTGTAACTGCCACAGTGCAAAGAGACAATCGAACCCTTTCTCTCTGTTTTGTTTTCTTTCCTCACAGATTCATAAAGAAGAGTCAGCGATTCATCAATGCTTTGAATGTATCTGCATGTTCTCCCATACACGGGTTCACACTGATGTCTGTGTTTAATCTTCTCACACTATTTTGAGGAATAGCTACACTATATTGCTCAGATCTATATCAGCTACAAGTCAAACCCATCCACAATTCCAGCTGGTAAATTTCACACAGGACTCTATATAAGTTGCTTTAACCTGCCCACAGTTGCTGTTGGTGCACATCTGCAAGCTGCTTTCAACCCACCTCCATTTCAGCTCCTAGTGTTCATGTTTTGTCATGCTGCTCATCTCCCTGCTTCTGCTTTTCCCTGTATCTTAATGAATGGGCCGGGAACTCCCAGCAAATGTAAATTACTGCAGAAGAAAATGATCGTCATCTTTTGATCACAGTGGTCTTGAACTGAGATATTTTCTCGTCGTTCCCCACTTTAGTAGAGGTACAGCACTAACTAAAAACCCAAAATATATCTATCATGGACAGTTTCATTGTAAAAGTAATTCTGTAGGAGTCACTTTGCTCTCTTCAAAAAGATTATAAACAATAACATCAACAATGTAATAGTTCATCAATCTCACAGTTCATCACTATTCACAGGTTATTACCTTAACTTTGACCTTGGCTTTGGGTGAAGACCTATTAGGTGATCATTGTGTGCAAGTTTCACCAAAATCTGACAAATACTGTAGGAGGAATAATGATTCTTGTGAACTGTGGAAGGACGGATGCCTCACCTCAATGGTTCTTTGGCCAGATGAGCTCAAACTGCTGTTAACTCATCTGCATTCACAGTCTTACCATTTAAAGCTAAATTGTGATCAACTTGGGCCGCTCACTGTCTATAAACTAAATATGCTCATAAAGCATCTACAGTGTCAAAGGTTAAAAGGTCATGCTCAAGTCCAAAAAACTGCAGTTCCTCTATGGACCACTAGAGGCTCCAAACATGAGTAGATCTCCATAGACAGCTCTGTTAAAATTCCATGTGTACATCAGAAATATTTACAGCCTGCTACAAAGAATGCTTTTGGTCTGTGTGTTTCTCTAGTTTCTCTCTTTATGGAAGCTGTACAAATTTTGTACAGCTTCCATAAACCTTTGTTTGCAAGTTTGTTTGTTTTTAATAGCTTATTTGTTTGGATTTTGTTGAGGCTTAAAGTTAGAAGTAAGGCAACTCTAAGTTACTGCTTGGCATTCAAGAGAAATATGGAGGACATAGAAGGATGGAAGTGACTGATTCAGTGCAGTAACTCCAAAGGAAGAAACTGAAACTCTTAACTAATTACATATATATGAACATTTTATAAGCTAACAGCACGCACTGAATGGAAAGTCATCATTTAAATCAGAAATAGTAAGTAATCAAAGTTGTTGTATTCATTAAAAGATAGACATCACAGGCACCTGACATAGTAATACATTAATTTCACTTGATTTTGAATGCCGGTTAAACAAAAGGCTGGTTATTACAAACGAAATACTTTGATTTAATTAGAGAGAGACTTACATCATGGTGGCTCAGCAGAGCAGCATCCATTAGAGGATTGTGAGATTTCTTTAGAAGTCAAAAGAAAGAAAAAAAAAACATCCTGCCTGCAGCCTGAGAAACGTACCAGTGGAACCAGTTTCTGAAGAGCTTGCCAGTAAATATACAGTGTGGCATCACACACATACACACAGAGTCAGGTAATCTGA